ACACACCTCATACCACAATACCCTATCAACCCGCAGACATGCAACTGATCCAACGACCCATTCACCCATCCCTGAACCAAGATATAGCCCGAGCCTGAGACACACTGATCCGTGGAACAAGTCGACGGCTAGTCCGTCGCATATGTTCTTTCTTTCTTTCTTTCTGTTCTCCATTCTAAACACATTTCCCTCATTTCTAATCCTCCCTATCACACACACCTTTTCCCCTATCAACTAGTAATACACACGCTCACCGCAGCACCTGGTGCATCAACCCCTGAGCTGCACACACGTACCTTCCTATGTACCCCCTCCCCTTGCGTCCTCGCTCATCCCACACTTCAGACAAATAGTCAACTCTTGTACCGTACCTGACAGTTAATTGAACTCACCTGTTACCCACACAAGTTTTCGTCTCGAGATACTTCGCTTGCGTTAGATTCCGTCTCACTACGCATATACACTGCATAGACCATTTTCTACAGAACAACACCCTACTCGATTCGACTTCACTTCGAAGTCTGAATCTTATTCTCACTCAAACAAAAACTCAGTCACTCTTATTCTTCACATGGTCAATCCGAGTGAAACCCAGGGCGACGTATTACCTGTATGTGGCCTAGAGGGCTCCGAAGCGGACAACCGACTGTCTGCATCGGAAAGAGCCTCATCCGATTGATCGGAGCGTTGGTCGGCTGGAACCTCGCACAGCTCCAGATACTCCTCGAGCAGTCTAGCCACATCGAGAACCGCCCACTCCCGCGGGGACCCCCGTAAACGAGTGTTGGTGCCAGCATTCAACCATGAGGGGCCACCAATGGGCTTGTGTACATGAGTGACCCCATCCAACGCAATCTCACCTTGAAATGGCTCCCAATCGAGATGCGACAGAAAATCGCTCTCTTTGGCCAGCCGACCTGGGTCATCCACGGGCATATCACCTGTGACTGTGGGGGCGGCGCGCACCGAGTGTGTCGACGTGCTGGAACTCCTGGGCAACACCCTGGAACTCAAGGCGGAACTGGAGGATTGTCGGTACTCCATGTTGCGCCGGTGAACCTGTGTGTCCTCATGTTTGCGTGCTTGACGGGTGGGGCGCCAGCGAGCATCTTGGCAGGCCTGACACTGACACTGCCCCTTCGCATCAGGACGCCACCCTTGGGAGCCGAACTCAGTGTTAGTGACATGAATGAGCGTATGATATCTCACACTGACGATCGCGCCATGTTGGGCGATCACCCGGACCCGTATATGACGCCATCATGGGCTGGTGTTACCGGATTTGGGCGACGAGAGGGGGCGTTGCAGTGGGACCGATGGCACGGACCACGAGAAGAGGCCCCAGTGTGAGCCCCAACTTGTGCGGAACAATTTTTGGCGTTGACACCGGGCTTAGCTAGGCCGAAATCAAGCTGAGTATAAATTTGGTTCCCACGCGGAGTGGGTTCATACGGGTTCTATCTTAAGGTCTGCCTGTGTATCAGACTGGTCAATTTTAAATAGTGTCAATTGCGCCCTGTCATTTGACGTTCCGTAAGATGTCACTTGAGATGCCGAGTTGGGGGTTCGATGCACCTTCGCGGATGGCCGTTTTCGTCCCGATGTGTTCAAGAACGCTACTGTAATACGCCAACGTCAAATATCCATATTGCTATATAATCTATAAAGGATAAGTCCAGATGTCGTTGTCTCGGAATCATTCGTCACTTGAGTTGCCGCGAGGGCATTCGGAGACAAAGCCCTCGATAAGGATTGGCTGACGCGTAGGGAACAAGCACATACTGTATGCCAGATGATAGTTGCGGACGCTCCGACGGCATGGTGCTTTGAATAAAGGCGCCTGCGAAGGTGAGTATATAACGGCGAACAAAACGAGTTTATCCTACCAGTCACTTGTGGATTCTGCTTTCTTGTGGCACAGAATGCCTCAGTATTTCGACCCATTCCTTCCTTCCTTGCCCGCCATCATCAATCGGAGGTCAGTTGTGCCGCTAGACCTATTGAGCCACTGTGTCTATCGCATGCTTATATTACTGCCAGCTCAAGTGTGAATCACCATCCAGACCATACGTGAGTCTCCTCAGCTTGTCTATTAAGATGGATCCGATCTTGTCTTGTGGCATCATAGGGTCCCGTGGGATACCATTGGCGGTTTCGACCCGTTGACACACGCGCTCGCCAGCGCGATCGACCCATCAACCGGGTTACAGGGTGTGTTTGCTGGTCAAGATGCCGGCCTCACAGTGGCAGGGCAGGGCAGCACGATCACCTCACGCATTGCGCCAGCATCCGTCCCGCCCCGCGAGATTTACGCACCCGGTCCATTCCTCGTCTCCAACCACTATGGGGACGTGGCGGCAAACGGGGCAAGAATGGACGCGCTCGACGCTCACCACGTCGAAGCGATCGGGTCCCCAGGTACGTCTAGCTTTCATATAGCCGTCCCTAAACTCACCATAAATCGACGAAAAGGTTACCCTAACCCGCACAATAACCTGGGCATTCGCCCTGTGCCCACGCAGTCGTCCTGGAATACGTGGATGATGCGTGCATCGCATCCCCTCCAGCAACCGCAAAAGTACGCATCGCTGACTTGTCGATAGCGCATACACTGACGCCACGCTTTCCTAGTTCCTGGGAGCAACACTCACATGAACAGGACACTGCTTGCACAAATCAGGCACACCAGAGGTACCTCGTCGCGGCAGAGAAATGTCACGTTGATACCCCCACTCAAACCATGACATTTACCGACAGTGCAACCGCCCAGGGCTCCATGCCTGTCAACGGATTCCAATATTACGAGTGGACGAGTGAAGCCCATAGTCACCTCCCGCTGTCGCAAGACTCTGTCCAATTACGATATACTGAGCTTGCTGCAATCAACTGTGCGTAACCTTTCTACTGTGCTTAGAGAGACACGGAGGGGGCTCATGCTGATATACCTTGTCTAGGGGCATCGTTGTCAAGCTACGGCAACGAAGCGACGGCCCATAGTCACCACCAAACAGGCAGCAAGCATCCACAAGTCGTAGTTGGGGTTCAGAACCAGTGAGTACATGTTGGGAGACGTGCGAACAGCGTTTAACCAATGATTGGACAGATCCATCCCCAACTACCAACCAAACAAGAATAGTCACGACGATGGCCACGCATGTGATACCACATTCGTGCCACCGACCATGACCGCTCATCTGGAGCAGTTGGAGGGAGGCTCCAGGCCGGTCAACGATCCCGCGCTGCGCAATTCAGTGCCAAAGACCCCAACACCAACTACACCGAGCCCTACCCGCACTCGCCGCCGCCGCACCCCGCCCACAGCGCCTATTACAGACATCATGCTTACAGAAGAGCGCATCTGTAAGTACGTGTCGCGAAAAGGCAAACCGTGTGGCCTCAACATGGCCTCCACTGCCGGATGGAAAGTCGCGCGACATTGGTATAGCTGCCACGCCATGAAGGAGTGGAAACAAATCCAGAAGAAGAAGATGGTCATGGCTGAGGCAACTATCATGAACACGCCGGCTAGGATGCAAGTAGGAAACAGCTATGCTGCGCGGTGTCCATTTACCTTTTGCCGCCACCCCAACAACCCAAACAAGAGGTACATGAGACCGGACTCTCTCAACCGGCACATGAGGGCATGTGCAAAGCACTACAATGCAAATACATCGACGAGAGTAGAGGAAAAGGTGTCGGCATCAGCCTTGCAGTCAGCCAGCAGGTGCGCTCAATCCAACATGCGACTGGCACAGTACGACCAGGAGGAGTTCGGGGATGAGTACCAGGCGGCGGTGTGGACAATTCACCAGGCGTGAATCAGTCCAGAGAAGTTGATAGCTGTGTACAAGGCGCAGGTTAAGTGCGTGTCCCGTAGCGAAGATTCAGAAACATAGGTCGCTATCGATCGATGTGGTGTGGGCAGCATATGCAAGCGGTCACGTGATAGCTTAGTGATGTCCCGGCCGATTTCCCGATTCAACCTTACGCTCAGTAGATCTACATGCTTTAAGTGCTTTGGTGGATCATCCTACCAGCCTATCCGCTAACGAGAAATATCATTTGAAAACACCGTCATTGATGAAGAGTAACGAAACACCCGACCAAGATCATAGGCAATGACCTAACTCTCGCCGCCTTCCTTATCCAGACCGTATGCGATGGCAGCGGCTGAATGGTTGGTGACACGCAGGACCTCAAGGCCTGCGATGACGCCACCGTCCTTGGTGGCTTGACGTTGAGCGTCGTGGAAATGGGGTGGGACGATAACGACCACAGGGGTATACGCTGGTGAGGGTCACATTATGCGATAGGAGACATGCGATATGTATTCGATATAGCAATGCACGAATGTCAAGGTACGAGGGTGATCCATGCGCCTCACCAGCCATGTCAGCTCACTTGGACTTGGCCATGCTGCGCATTATGCAAGTTTTTCAGACACTTGCGCTTTTCAAATTGCCTCACGTACACATAATTCTCTAACTTTATACCGGGCGGCCGTTGTGAGTGGTACAAATGCTCCTCGTAATTCCGCACGGATACTTATACTGTCCCACGTGACTGTCCCAGCCTTTGGAGTCTCAACGACGCCATGCATACGCGTGACTCGGTTCCCATATTCTGTTATTATATCTCATTCTGGCCCGTCTCTGCCCGCACAGGAAGTTTTCTGTCCACCCTGATAGCGGTTCTGGTGAAGGCCAAGACAAATGTTACGCTCGAGTACGCTCGGCCTGGCGATTTAAGTGCCTGTCTTCCGAACTTGAAGACGGGCTTATGAGTCGCCCGACAACCATTTCATTTTCCAATGTGTTTATAGATTTTACAATGTATAAGTACGACCCATGAAATCATTACAGTAATACAAACATGTACTTTTGTACGATATTCCTAGCAGTACTAGCCCGACTACCGATTGTGCCAAAGCGGTGTGACTGGAAAGAAAAAAATTTCCAGGTTGATTATTAATATCATGTTTTTTCGCAAAAGCGATAAAAGGGCCTGACCGGGAATTGAACCCGGGACCTCTCCCATGGTGGATAACTATCCGGGAAAACCCGAAGGGAGAATCATGCTACTAGACCATCAAGCCTGTGGCGATCTTGCGGCCACTAACATATATATAGCCTTCGATAAAATATCGGCCGGCATCCGGAGAAGCTTCATTTAACTCAAGATGCATCGACCCATGGCTTAATCTTCGATGAGATCATATATACGGTCAGCTGAGAATAACATCTTTATATGATATCAGCGTTAGTATTGCTAGAGTCCATCTTGTCACTCCAATCGATCACTTCTCAGCCGATGCATTGGTTGCACATTGCTGAGGAGCAGTATGTAGCCCACGAAGTTGTTGCAGCTGTGCAATACTGCTAACTTGCCGTACTGAATTCCCCACTCGCTCTCTGAGCTGAAATGCCCGGATTCATCCAACGTAACCAAGCTGCAGCATGTTTACACTTTACTTGTATAAACGCAATTCCTTAGGTACCCGTGGCTGGCATCATATCCTCACACACGGAAATATATACAACGATGAAGCTCTACTCATCACTCAGTCGTCAAACAGAGGGCGAAATGCCTGCGGTTAGACAATTGTCAGTAAGGAAAACAGGAAGAAAGCTGACGAGAATTGCCTTATCTACCCCTTCAGTGACAGGCACTTGGCTCGGCCACATATGTTGGTCACGATCCATCCCTAGCTCCCACTCTTGTTGACCTCTACTACCCTCGTTGTCTTCCTTTACATTCTCGACAGCAGTACTCATCCCTACCTCCTCCCCGTCAGCCGCCATCATTGCCTCAAATTCTTCAAAGTCCATATGCTCAGTCCCCAGCCCAGATGAACGGAGCACTTCAAGATCAGCATTGGATAGCTGCGACGCGCCTTGCAAAAAAAGTGGCTCCTGGTCGCCCAACTGGTCTCGTGCGCCAGTCGCAGATGGAAGATCGCCATGGCTCGGAGCATTGCGCAAATCCGCATTTTGACTACAGGCACCACCCTCCGGTGGCGATGCCTGTCGCAGTGGCCTTTTTCTCGTCGACCACATTGCACTCTCACCATCGCCCGCGTTTTCGGCATTTTGGCCGCCTTCGCGACCTCGCTTGCGTAAGTTGATAGGTTTCGGTCTCTTGGATGGCGACAGTGAGTCATATAAACTCTGAGTTGTAGATATTACGAAGAAAAACTCTGCATCAAATGCGTCTGTGTTGAATTTTATGTATAGGGGTGACGCATGCTCCGTGAATTGCATGTCAAGTGCGACAGATAAAGATTCCGCAAGGGCTATCGTTGCCTGTTTGAAAGCAAGTTCATAAAAAAATACCAAACCGCTCGTCTGATGCTATACGCACGGTGAACTCCCGCAGGTGAAATCCTAGACTGAGAGGTGGCTCATAAATATCATACGAGTCAAATTCTTCGGCACTCATTAGGATTTCTGTAGATATCAACGACTTTCCTACGTTAGAGATATCTCTGTCTCTATCAAAGCGGAAAAACATAGATCGAGGGAAAGAGAGACATACCTCTGGCATCCCCACCCAGCTGCATGCTTTTGACTTTGATGTCATCGATGCCGAACAGCCACACGAGTTCAGGATCGCTCTTTGTCCCCTTTGTATGCGGAAAGTGATCAAGAATGTCTTTCAGTGCGCGCGGACCAATAGTCACGTGGGATTGCATGGGGGAAGCTACCAGCTGAGGCCCTTGGAGGTCCGTCAACGATAACAGAAGACGGTGGGTTTTAACGACGCCTATGTTGGTTGCGATATAAGAAAGCGTGTCAATACGATGGCTAAAACCAATCAAAAGGTAATCATAGTGTATGTTTCGACATAGGTTCTTCACCGTCATGTAAATGTGAAATCGTAAAACGACATTTCACGCGCCTCGTGTCACGAAAACAACCAAATCAATACGGCAGTCGAGCGGGCCACTCACCGTGTTTGCAGTAAAGTCGGATAATTAACTTGCTCTCCAAGCTCTCCACTTCATTGTCACTGGCGTGGTGTATATCCTGGTCACGTTCTACAATAGACAATTCACAGCGATCTACAGTTTTGTCGACAGTTTTATGTTTGAGTATTGATAATAAGGCCTCAAGATTAAGATGCTGTCAACGAGATCAAGACATCAATTAATATAAAGGTTGAGACCTTGACAAGTAGCTGCCCAGTGACTGTTCCGTGGTCTTCCAAGTGAGAAGGAGGCTGAGATGTCGACCCGAACAGTGTGGGTGGGTTAACTTTATATATGCGAAAGAATTCTGATGTGAACTTGACACGAGCGAACGCGGTATTTGAAGAGCTTATGGCTATAAGAAAAAGAGCCTCTGGACTTGCACGAATGACAATGTCATCACTATACCGCGAAAGACACGTTAAAGATTGAGTGAGGGCTGCGCCAAAGAAAGTTTTAAAGCCATCTCTGAGAGAAGGTAAAAACTAAAACTGACATTTGAGTTTTGCTTGTCCAATCACTGCTTGAAAGGACATACGGGATGTCGATGACGATGGAAGGACGGTCACCCGTGACAGGAAAGGTGACTCATACCTTCAATACTCTGCAAAGGCTCTGCGACTGGGCTAGCTATCCTGCTAGGTAGAAAGAGAAGAATCTAACAATTGCTGGAGGCAGCAGACCCCTTTTGTGCTTGACTCCGTGTGGCACCCACGGATACCCGCTGCTGCATAGTGTTTTCCCGGCGGCCATCTAGTCATCCTTCAACACCCGACTTTTACTCCAAAGTAAATCCTTTTTCGTCAGTCATAGAATCATCTCTGTATGTTGATACACTGACAACTCGCTAAAGGATGTATCTTCTTATTGGAGGCTACAAGTGCACCCCCATTCAAATCAAGGAGCGGTTTGCGGCGCGTGGTGTTGAGTTACAACAGGATTGCTACACCGTTCAAGGGAACCGTTACCTCACCAAACACAACTTCGGGCCCGTATAAGGTCATGCGCTTATGAAGGGCAACACAGTTTTGTTGTCCTCACGCACAAAATGGCCATTGACGACTTCGTTGCGATCCAGCGCATGTACGACCTCTTCGAAGAAAGCGATGACGCTCGCTCCATCAAAGCAGAGATGGGGCTTCAGGACGTCGAGTTTATTACAACTGCCGCATATATCGGCTAATGGAAAGTGAAAATCACTTGCTTTCCTCCGGGAAGATGTGTTCTATGATTTCTGGTGGCTTCTTCCTTAGAAATGTTGGCTTGCGTCGGATTCCCGTTTTTCAACCCCACGATGTATACTCTTGATTGTAGGCGACCAGACTTCACACCGATAACCCGAGACCCATTTCCAACGGCTGTAAAAGGTTCTCTGTTAACACGGTGCAGATAAGGTCTGTGAACCGCATCGAGCGCGTGCTGATGCCGGAGCATGAGAACACGAAGTAGTATCTTGAAACTCATACAGCAACTTGAGTGTACATATAGAATTCGCCACCCTCTTGGAAATGGTTTGATACGATATGCGAGATCGACTTAACCGACCTACAATGTGGACATAGAAATCATCGTTTACCTCATGCCCTAGGCGTACCACCAGTCACCCCACTGGTGAAGTACTCCTCCCCGTAGTCCATGAAGACCCGGGGTGTATTGATTTCTTGACTGTTATGAAACATATCAGGATTCTTTTGGTTGGTCAGTTTCACACTCACGAGCGTATACTCATAGAATACATCTCTAGGTCAATTGGGCAGGTTAGAAGCAGCAGGGCGAAAGATTCACAACCCATACGATGGTCGCCGTTCACCTCTCGAACTATCCATCGGACAGCGTGTGATCGGCACCATAAACCATATTCAAGAGAAGAAGACATAAACATACCCTCTGCCCTACAATTTGCCAGCCCCCGCTGCGCATGGTTAATGAGCCTCATCTCGTTACCGACTAGGGCAGCGTCAATTGTCCATTCGGCATTGAGACCAAAGAGATGGTTGCGCCTCAGATGTCGAGTTTGAACTCTGTTCTGGTTAACTAATTGATTCTAATGACGCTAATAGGGCAACCCACCCACGAGCATCCGTCATCTTGTCATTGAGGATGTTGATACCGCCAACTTCACCTCTTACGTCAAAATAAAATTAGATATAAGGTTTTTAATGTTTGATTAGGGCCTACTTTGCGCCACATTTTCGGCATAGCTCTGGATCACATTCCCGTCCAGCCTTGAAACAAGGGCATTTTGGTGTCCTGCACATTTCCGTCCTGAATTCTTCTTGTAGCGGCATCCCTTGGGTCGGCGTTTACCTGTGCCAATGGTAAACTATGAATGATGACAAGATACAAGAAAAACTATACGGGTCAGGTCACAGCGGCGATTGCGATGGCAATGTAATTGTTTGCGGTAGCACCGGCAGTCAGCCAAAGAATCGCATATGCCCAAATGTTGACATATTTCGGACCTAATCAATAATAAATTATAGGTACAAGAGCGTGCAATCTATAAGTTACTTACGGTGGCAGGTAATCAGAAGCCTGGAGCCTTGGACAATATCAGCTAGAGAACAGGTATTGGTATTCACTTGATCAAAATGCTTAGATGACAGACTGAAGATTGGCCACTCGTGCAGAGAATCGGATTCATAACCACTCCCTCTGTCAGGTGACGCATGGTGGTCGGGACCTTGGGTGGAAAAACGTAGTCTGCGCGTAAATCTAATGTTACAATAAGCTGATCATGACATTTAACACCATGAGACGAAAGTACGAACCTCGCGGCACAGTCCAAGATCAAATGCCGCAGTAACATCCTTTTATGAACGTTAGATGAGCTACCAGAAGCCGCCGAGGACGAGCTCCCTTTTAACTTCGCACTCCCAGAGACACCAGAGGACGAACAAGGAGGACCATCACCAGCAGAACCTACAGAAGAAGAACTAGAAGAAGCTGAAGACCTATACCAACCCATGTCACAGACTCCACAGGCTAGCAGCTGCAGCGGCGAACCCATATATCCACCCCGTAGCCAAATAACAGAAGCGACCGTAACAACCCAGTGCGAACCGACTCGGCTTTCTGACGTTTTTTTTCTTTTTGTCCAATGTGGCTCACAACAACGTTGTTTCACT